AATCAAACTGACAATCAACATTTGTGATCCAGAGGGAGTCGAGCTCCAATGAGCACCACGTCTCTGACACCGGCGGTAACCTACACCTGCAGAGACACCAACACCTTATTATGGCATATGGATTCATACCATAAACTAAAGCTCAATGTCATTCACGGATATTTACGGCTGCATAAATGGATATACCCTCTGCATATTCATTTCTGCCTCCACAAAAGCAGCGATTTCCTTCAAGTACACCAGTTTTTTTTCCCCGTGGAAAAGATGTATTTCTCATACATTCTTTTTTAAGTCTTTATATTTATGACAATGTGATGCTGATGTGCCAAAGGATTAAGTATCTCCTTGTTTGTGAAACCTATACTGAAGCACAGTTCCTTCAAATGCTTCATGGCCCTAATTTTAACAAGTCTCCTCTGAAATAACAGGTTACGACTTTATTCTCATAAATCAATGACTTTATTGTCACACTCTGCTGTGTATCTCAGGCTGACTCTCACTTACCTGCCACACCTCACCCCTGCCACACCTCCTCATCAGCACTGATTCCCCACACCTGTGAGTGACAAGCTGCAGCTCCTCACTGCTGATTAGCCAGCCAGCATTTAAGTCACTCTGTGTCCCTCAGTCAGTGCCAGATTGTCTTCGCAGCATGCACGACTCTCCAGCATTACTTCTTGGATTGACTTCTCGGTTTCGACTCCTGCCTGTCCCTGACCACGTCTTATCGTCTCAGCCCTTGGATCCCCTGTCAAGTTTCTTTGCTCCGGTGAGAACTTCAGGTTTTGCTGTGTTGCTGGCTTCCCGACCTACTGCCTGTCCATGACTATCCTTCTGTCTGATCCCTCTGGAATTAGTCTGCCCCGCTGATTGTCTGCCTGGATTCGACATTGCCTCCACCTCGACCACGAGCTCAGCCTGCCCCTCGACAGTGCCGCTGCACTTCACAAAGACTCTCAGGTGTAGTGTGTTTTCTGTGTGCACTCACCTTTCTGCCTGTTGGATCTGTTTCCTGTGGATCTGTCTTCTGTTGGACTTGGAGATTCTACAGAGACTGCTTAAATCAATCCCAGTATCTTCAGTTTCCTGTGTGCTGTGTTCTGTTGCAATAAAAGTAGCTTCTAAACCACTACCTGCTGTAGTGCTGCACTTGGGTCCTACATCCACACCCCTGACAGGACAATCTGGCCAGAAATGGACCCAGCAGGCAACCCATCACCCTTGGACCATCTGACCAAAATTGAGAGCATTTTGCAGCAGCATGAGACCATGTTGTCTGCTGCAACCTCAGAAGCCAGACAGGCAGCCCAGGCTAATGAGCAGACCCTCTCTGTATTAGCTACAAAATTACAACAATTAACAGACTTTATCACCTCATCGGCTGCTACCCAGTCCTCACCAGCTACCCCAGCTTTGGCCCCTGCTCCAGCTCCAGCTCCAGCTGCACCTCTGTCCTGTGATGCTCCTGAGCCCCGTGTGGGAGTTCCAGAACGTTATGATGGCAGTCCAGAGACTTGTGGCCCCTTCCTGACGAACTGTTCATTGTTGTTTTCTCTTCAGCCCCGTACCTTTGCCTCAGAGCAGGCAAAGGTCGCTTTTACAATTAACCACCTCACAGGCAGAGCTCGTCTGTGGGGAACTGCTGAATGGGAGAGACAATCAGAGGCCTGCTCTTCGTTCCAGTGTTTTGCTCAGGAGCTACGCAAAGTTTTTGGCCTGGGGTTTTCCAGATCAGAGACTGCTCGAGGACTCATGGGGCTGCAACAGGGGAAACGCACGGTGGCAGACTATTCAATTGACTTCCGCACCAGAGCCAGCCTCAGCAGCTGGAATCCTGCCGCTCTGGTGGACGCTTTTCTCCATGGCTTGGCAGAATACATCAAGGATGAACTGGTCTCCCATGACGTGCCCTCAACACTGGATGGAGTAATAGAGCTAGCCATCCGGATCGATCACCGTGTTCAGGCTCGCCTACGGGAGAAACGCCAGGCGTCCTCTCATCATCCTCCCATCCAGTCCAGAGGACATGCCGTCAACTATGCATCATCATCAGCTCAGCGTTTGGAAGAACCCGAGCCCATGCAATTGGGTCGTGCTTCCCTCACCCCGGAGGAACGAGAGCGACGCAGACGCTCGAACCTCTGCATGTACTGTGGTCAGGCCGGTCACTTCAAGTTCACCTGTCCAGTAAAAGCCAAGGCTCACCAGTAGTTGGGGAGATACTGGTGAGCCCTACAATCGTGCCCTCCCCTCAACCACAGAGACCTCAGCTCCAAGCCCGGTTGCTCCTAACTGGTGGCGCCCAGTTCCTGCTCACCCTCATAGACTCTGGTGCTGATACCTGTATTATTGACGAGGGGTTGGGTCAGCAGTTGGGGCTAAAGTGGGTTCCTTTACCTCGTCTGATTCCCGCTCGGGCTCTCGACGGACATATTCTGGGAACTGTCACGCACCAGACTGTCCGGGTTCCTATGTTGCTTTCTGGCAACCATCATGAGGAGATCCAGTTCCACATCCTGAAGACTCCTCATCAGCCTCTCATTCTGGGTTACCCCTGGCTTCGTCAGCACAACCCCAACATTGACTGGGAGATGGGAGCTGTACGTGAATGGGGTCCATCCTGTCATCACCGTTGCCTGAAGCAAGCCTCCTCTCCAAGCCACTCACACTCCTCCAGTTCGCCTCCTGACATCTCTGAGGTACCCTCTGAATACCATGACCTCAGCCCAGTCTTCAGCAAGGCCAAAGCCACGTCACTGCCCCCTCATCGGCCTTATGATTGCGCCATGGACCTCCTGTCTGGCACATCTCCGCCCAAGGGTCGCCTGTACTCCCTGTCTGCACCTGAAAAAGAAGCCATGGACATTTATATTAAAGACTCTCTGGCAGCAGGCATAATCCGTCCATCCTCCTCTCCTGCTGGGGCGGGCTTCTTCTTTGTTGAGAAGAAAGATACTACCTTGAGGCCTTGCATTGATTACAGAGGACTGAACGACATCACCATAAAGAACCGCTATCCCCTGCCTCTCATCTCTTCGGCCTTTGAACTGCTTCAGGGGGCCACAGTCTTTACTAAGCTTGACCTTCGCAACGCCTACCATCTGGTCCGCATCAGAGAGGGAGACGAATGGAAGACAGCCTTCAACACTCCATCTGGGCACTACGAGTACCTGGTAATGCCCTTCGGCCTCACCAATGCCCCCGCTGTTTTCCAAGCCCTGGTCAACGACGTTCTCCGAGACATGCTCAACCGCTGCGTCTTTGTTTACCTCGATGACATCCTGATCTTCTCCAAGACCCTGAGTGAACATATCTACCATGTCCGGGCGGTGCTCCAACGTCTCCTCGAAAACTCCCTGTTCGTCAAAGCGGAGAAGTGTGAATTCCATGCCCCATCTGTCTCCTTCCTGGGTTACATCGTGGCCAAGAACAGCATCCAGATGGACCCAGCAAAGGTGTCAGCTGTCACTTCCTGGCCTGTTCCTGACTCCCGCAAACAGTTGCAGCGTTTCCTTGGTTTTGCCAACTTCTACCGCCGTTTCATCCGCAATTACAGTTCAGTTGCTGCTCCCCTCACTGCCCTAACCAGCTCCAAAGTGCCATACCAATGGAATCCTGCTGCCGATGAGGCTTTCAAGACTCTAAAATCCAAGTTCACCTCAGCACCCATCCTTCAAGTACCAGATTCTGATCAGCAATTCGTGGTGGAGGTGGATGCCTCGGATGTGGGTGTCGGAGCTGTCCTCTCCCAAAGATCAGCGGCTGACCAGAAACTTCACCCCTGTGCTTTTTTTTCTCAACGCTTGTCTCCGGCGGAGAAAAATTATGACATTGGCAACAGAGAACTACTAGCAGTAAAGGAGGCCCTGGAGGAGTGGCGGCACTGGCTGGAGGGCACAAAGGAGCCATTCCTGATTTGGACTGATCACAAGAACCTTGAGTACCTTCGCACAGCCAAGAGACTTAATTCCCGTCAGGCCCGTTGGTCTCTGTTCTTTACAAGGTTCAATTTCATCCTCTCCTAACGCCCTGGTTCTCACAACGCTAAGGCAGACGCCCTTTTCCCGGCAGTTCCAGTGCGTCTATGGTTACCAGCCTCCACTGTTCCCTGCTCAAGAGAATGAGGTTACCTGCCCGTCTGTTCAAGCCTTTGTTCGCCGCTGCCGTCGGACCTGGGACAGAGCTCGCTCCACCATCCAGCGCTCCGTGGGTCGCTACGCCAGGGCAGCCAACCAGCGACGTTCCCCAGCTCCTGACTACCAGGTGGGCCAGAAGGTGTGGCTCTCTGCTAGGGACTTACCTCTCAGGGTGGAGTCGAAGAAGTTGGCCCCTAAGTTCATCGGCCCATTCACTATTGAGCAGATCATCAGCCCTACAGCAGTGAGACTGAAGCTTCCACGCACCATGCGAGTTCATCCGACCTTCCGTGTCTCCAGGATCAAGCCAGTTCATGAGAGTCCGCTTTCACCTGTGGTCCCGCCTCCTCCTCCTCCTCGCTTTATTGATGGGGGCCTGACCTACTCGATTAGGTGTCTGGTTCGGTCCCACCGTCGTGGGAGGGGTCTCCAGTACCTGGTAGATTGGGAGGGCTACGGTCCAGAGGAGAGGTACTGGGTCCCTTCTCGCCACATCCTCGACCCAGACCTCATCGTAGACTTTCATCGTCAGCATCCTTCCCAGCCCTCCAATGCCTCCAATCCACCAAGGGACCCTCGTTCCACAGCTTGCTCTTCAATTTTACCAGCCTCACCTGAGGAGGATTGTTCCGGTGATGAGAACTCCACCAATTCTGATCCTGCTGAATTGCCTATGGAGAGCATGGACTGGTCAGGTTCAGAGGAGTTTTAGGCCACGTCTTGCTGTTGTGTTTCCCCCCCGCCCCCGCCCGCCCCGGCTGGGTGGATCCTTTTGGACGTCGGGTGCCGTCCCTTGAGGAGGGGGTTCTGTCACACTCTGCTGTGTATCTCAGGCTGACTCTCACTTACCTGCCACACCTCACCCCTGCCACACCTCCTCATCAGCACTGATTCCCCACACCTGTGAGTGACAAGCTGCAGCTCCTCACTGCTGATTAGCCAGCCAGCATTTAAGTCACTCTGTGTCCCTCAGTCAGTGCCAGATTGTCTTCGCAGCATGCACGACTCTCCAGCATTACTTCTTGGATTGACTTCTCGGTTTCGACTCCTGCCTGTCCCTGACCACGTCTTATCGTCTCAGCCCTTGGATCCCCTGTCAAGTTTCTTCGCTCCGGTGAGAACTTCAGGTTTTGCTGTGTTGCTGGCTTCCTGACCTACTGCCTGTCCACGACTATCCTTCCGTCTGATCCCTCTGGAATTAGTCTGCCCCGCTGATTGTCTGCCTGGATTCGACATTGCCTCCACCTCGACCACGAGCTCAGCCTGCCCATCGACAGTGCCGCTGCACTTCACAAAGACTTTCAGGTGTAGTGTGTTTTCTGTGTGCACTCACCTTTCTGCCTGTTGGATCTGTTTCCTGTGGATCTGTCTTCTGTTGGACTTGGAGATTCTACAGAGACTGCTTAAATCAATCCCAGTATCTTCAGTTTCCTGTGTGCTGTGTTCTGTTGCAATAAAAGTAGCTTCTAAACCACTACCTGCTGTTGTGCTGCACTTGGGTCCTACATCCACACCCCTGACATTTATTTGTGTAAATTCACGACTTATCTCTAAGTCTTTAAAAAAATGTCTCAATATGGCCCTCATACTCCTTCATACAAAACAATCATTAGATGAATTGTACTTGTATGTATCTACTATTTTGTGTCTGTGCAAGGTCACACAATTAAAAATAAATGCTGCACTCCGCGGGTTTTCTTTAAGTCAGTCGTGATGCGAGCCTGAGGGCGGGGACATTTGGCGACTCAACCAGCAAGTCCTTCGAGGGTCGCCAAATGTCCCCGCCCTCAGGCTCGCATCACGACTGACTAGAAAAAAACCCTCACATATTTTTGTCCCATCCCCTCCAGCTTCATCAAGGACTGCCTCCCTGTTATCTCCCCACTCATCACCGCAACCATCAACTCCTCCCGCAGCACTGGTTCCGTCCCCTCATCTCTCAAACTGGCTGCTTTCACCCCCATCCTAAAGCAACCTGGACTCAACCCTGAAATAATGAGCAACTTCCGACCAATCTCCTATCTCCTCTTTCTGTCAGAAATACTGGAACGAGCTGTTGCCACCCAAATTAAGATCCACCTCACCTCCAACAATCTGTTTGAACCATTCCAGTCAGGTTTCCGCCAACAACACAGCACAAAAACAGCCCTCCTGAAAGAAACCAACGACCTCCTCCTCTCTTCCGACTCTGGCCACCTCAGCATCCTCATCCTCCTCGACCTTACAGCAGCCTTTGACACCATCAGCCATTCCATCTTCCTCTCCCGACTAGAATCCTCCCTCTGCATCACTGGCACCACCCTCTCCTGGTTACAATCCTACCTTACAGACAGACAGACAACAGTTTATCAGCATCAATAACTGCACCTCCTCCACTGCTCCTCTGCTCCATGGCGTCCCCCAAGGCTCAGTACTTGGCCCCCTCCTCTTCATCCTCTACATGCTCCCCCTTGGCAACATCATCCGTCATCATGGCCTACACTTCCACTGCTACGCTGATGACGTCCAACTGTACATCACCTCCAGATCCATCACCACCACAACGCATTCCACCCTCACCCACTGCCTGCCCGATATAAAATCATGGATGCAAACCAACGTCCTTCAGCTGAATCCCGACAAATTGAAACTCATCATCATCGGCCCCAAGACCTCCATCAACAGCGCCCACAACTTCCACCTCTCCATTGACAATGCCATCCTGCTCCCCTCCCCACACATCCGGAACAGCAGTACAAAAACTCCATCCGCCACAATCCCCCCCGCAACCTCCGCTCCTCCGATGCCAACCTCCTGTTCCCACCCCTCCGAATGACTCATTAAACCTGGGGGGGCAGGGCCTTTTCCATTGCCGCATCCCCCCTCTGGAACTCTCTGCCCATCCATATCAGATCCTGCACTGATTTGCCCTCCTTCAAATCCCTCTGAAAACCCACCTTTTTAAAATAGCTTTTAACGTGACTATTTTATTTTATTGCTATATTCAAATTGTGTGCTTTATGTAAAGTGTCTTTGAGTATCATGAAAAGCGCTATACAAATAAAATGAATTATTATTATTATTATTATTATTATTATTATTAAATGATGGTGCAGTACATGTTGCAAATGTTCACACTGCATGGAAAAGAAGCCTTTGTTGGCAGCCAATGAATGCTAACCCCAAAATTACAGAGGCATATACTGTACCATAAATCATTGCATTACATTTTCTAACATGCTGTATCATATGCTACTGTATTACACTATATAGTATGGTATTGCATCAAATAGTATCAGCATGCCCGTGCATGCATAGGGCCCTAGGGGTGCTTGAGCCCCTGCCCTTTTTGCCTCGTATTAAAAAGTGCCCTCTGAGTGTTTTTGATTTGATTTGATTTGATAATTTTATTTAAGTGTCATACACCAAAATTGGTGCCCAGCCCCATGGGCTTATTAGACGCTGTTCAACAAACTCAAAACACAATGTATCCAAGACAGCCATGCAACATAATATACAACAACAATAACATCAAAAATCCATTAAGAATTGTAACACAAACAATGAGGATAATGAAAGAGTAACAAAAAAATTCATCCTACAGGGTACAAAATACTTTGCCGCATATGCCAAGCCTTTTCAACAAATTTTGCCAAAACAAAAACATCCTTTTCAAACAACCAACCCAAAATCTCACCTTCACTCTTCCAAAATAAATCAGGATTTTTAAACTGAATTGATTCAAAAATGACATTCCTTAAGTCGACATATAAGGGACAATTGAAAACAAAATAAAATTCATCCTCAACCACCTGAAAATCACAGAATTCACACAAACGTGCTTCTTCCGGTAAGCCTTTAAATCGTCCCACTTCTACTGCCAGAGGTAAGGTACCTGTTCTCAACTGAGCACAGAGAGATCTCTGTCTTCTCTTTAAATGAAGGAAAATATAAGGTTCTGTAAAATAATCCTTCTTGAACTGAACATAATTTCTGAGCTTTGGTTTCTTCCATATAGCCTGTTTCCATTGATCTTCGTGCTTCTCAAACATTTTTTGTTTTACAGAATTTATATTACATTGCAGATTATTTCTAAACATTACATGCATGTCAGAGGCAAACAGGATCTTTGAAATCTCACTGGACCAGGGATGATGATTTGCTCTGTCCCAGTTAAAAAATTTTCTAGTTAGCCTTTCCTCTGGCAGACTGACCAGACGATTCCACAGTCGCACCATTTCACAATGTTGTTTTAGAATACAAGGGTCCCATCCTACATCCCCTTCAATTGCTGCCTTTGATGCATATTTATGGACACCAAGAAAACATCTCAAAGCACGATTCTGAACAGAATTACAATCAGCGACCTCCTCAAAACCCCAAATCCCTGCAGCATGTAACAAAACCGGGTCAACCAAAGATTTATAAAGCTGTGTAAATGTAGAAAAACCAAGGTCCGTACAAGATTTCATTTTACTTAACACTGAGCCTAACGCTCTTCCTGCGGACTCTGCCAGTATTTTCCTTCCCTCCGAAAACTTCATATTTTCATCAAAAACAAAACCAAGATATTTATAATGGCAAGTATACTCTAAAGATGCCGCGCCAAACTGAAATTTATAATTACTCTGCAATATACTTTTCTTCCTAAGATGAACTACTTGTGTTTTTTCACTATTAATAGCAAGGCGCCATTTATTGCACCAAGAACTCATAATATTAAGCATAATTTGCAGATTATTTTCATTTTCTGCAATCAAAACAATGTCATCTGCATAAAGCAGAATACTTAAATTAATATCCTCTATAGGAACACCAACATTAGCCTGTTTAATGTCTTGAACTAGGTCATTTATGAAAAGAGCGAATAGAGACGGGGAGAGTAAGTCTCCCTGCTTCACCCCAAAAGGTGTTGGGAACCAGTCTGTTCTTAGATTATTTATTTGTACACAAGCAATAGGGTCTCTATAGAGAGCTTTTATAGCATGATAAAATTTTCCATTAATTCCTGATGAAAGTTGTTTAAACAATAGGAGATCTCGGTTAACACAATCTTACGCCTTTTTGAAGACAACAAAGCAGGCAAAAGTACTTTTACCCTCCTCCAAACGAGCTCTCACCACAGAAGATAATACATAAATATGATCAATGCAGGCTCTATTTTTCCTGAAGCCATTCTGTTCATCTACCAGCCCTCCATGAGACTCCAGAAAAACATTCAGTCTGTTATTAAGAACTCCTGAGTATATTTTGTAGACTGTACTAATCAAACTAATGCCTCTATAATTTAAAGGGACTCTTGGGTCATCTTTCTTAGATTTTGGGATGGGTTTGATAATTGATCTGTTGGTGATCCACATTGATGGGATAATACCATTGTGAAAACATGTGTAACACAGGCAATGTTGTACATTAGATAAGTTAGGACTTTCAAGGACCTCGTTAGGGAGCTCTTCAATGCCAATGGCTTTATTTTCTTTAGCTTTATTAAGCACTTTAAGTGCCTCAACTACTGTGATTTCACTGTTCAGTATATCATTTTGATGATAAATAGTATTCATCCCACTTTCCAACTCAAACTTTATTTTACAGATTTCCCCTAAAAAATTATCATCAAATGAAGAGGAGCTACTATAGGTGAACAATTTACTGAGGTCTTTTTCCCATTTTTTCAATATTTGCTCCGACTCGAAAGAAGATTCACCATTTTCCAATAAAACCTCCCAGGGTATTAATGATTTCTTTTTTGGACCTAACTTATGTATTTCTCTCCAAAATTGCTGTGGGTTACCGGTTTGTAGCTGTTCTAACTTAAGAGCTTGACCTCTTTTAAACTTACTCTTAACAAACCTGAGTTTTCTGTCAAAATTAACTTGGCATTGCTTGAATTCACTATGCAAGACCCTCCTCTTCCCAGGATCCCTGTTACTGCATTTAAGGAATGTTTTCTCTGCAGAACGTAACTTTAACCACTCCTCGTTTAATTTGTTATTCCAATATGGTTGTTTAACTCTGTAATATTTCTTTGTTGAACCCATTTTTTGTACAGGACAGTATTTCTCCATTTCAGCGTGTAAAAAGTTACAGAGATTGGTGTAACACTGATCCACCTTTTCTTGATTTTCCTGTGCTATCTGTAGTTGGTCTACTACCTCTAGTATAGCCCTGCGACATATTTCCGAGGAGAGGAAATTATCAGGATAATTATTGCTTCTCCTTTTTACATACTGTATGCGATCTGCATTATTCTGGTAATTAAATACCTTTCCCACTTGAAAACGAAGACAAAGAAACGAGTGATCCGGGAGTCTACTATGGTCACCAATCAAATTTAAACTTTCTGGACCGACTTTATCAATGAGATCAGAGGGGGTGTAAACATTAAATTCAATACATGTTTTCATATCAGCATGAGGCGTCACTATGTAGTCTACAACAGCTTTGCCCCTTACAGAAATTGACGTGAAGTTGTTATTTTCAGGATTTAACCTGCCGTTAAGTATACAACAATAAGAGTCCTTTAAGAATTCAATGAAGGTATGACCATGTTTATTTACACTTGTGTCCAGAATCATACGAGGCAAAATATCATTTCCTTCTGCATAGTCCTTAAGCTCCCCAATCCAACAATCCAAATCACCACAGATATAGATTGAATCCACCTTATCTGTAATAGTATATAGCACCGCCAATAAATGGATGAAATAAAGATCAGCATTATGGCCCCAATTAGATGATTCTGGAGACAGGTAACATGAAATCAAAACAAAGGAATACTGCGACTCCCGGTGCTCAAATCGTAAACAAAAAATCCCATCAAATGTTTTATCAACAATACTAACTGAATATCGACCCAAGACTGCATTTTTTACCAGGAACCCAACTCCACCAGAGGATTTAACAGCTCTTTTGTGAGCAATACGATTATGTCCAAACCAGGTAAATTCATCAACGTCTAGTGAATGTGAATCACTGCTTAAATGAGTTTCGTTCAAAGAAATGAAATCGGGGCGTAAGGATTTCAGTAGTAATATTCTAAGTTCAGAGTTTGATAGCGTCCATCCATTAACATTCCAGTGGGCTAACAAAAACTGTTCAGTCACACACCTGTCGGGCTGGGCGTGCCACTCTCAGTCACCGCCAAGGCCAGCTTCTCTAGCCACAGTCCGGGATGACTGCGTCCGCTTCATCAAACGTCCATTCCCAGTTAGATAGAAGTCCTTCCCAACTGCGGTTTCCCGGATCAAAGATCTAAAGTTGAGTTCCAACAGTCGTTCAGCATGTGATTTTGCAGATGACACATAGACTTTATTGAAACGCTCGTTGTCCTTCAGCTTTGATTTTCGGCGCAACACGGCAATTTTCACCTGCACCGAGCTCAACTCCACCTTAACAAGGCCCGGTCGGTTTCCTCGCGCACTCATCCGCTCCACAGCAACGGGGCAGACCACAGTATCACATCCAAGGCCGTCATGCAATAAATCCCTCACTTTTGACATTAAATCCTCCACTTCAGACTCGGGGAGCCCCACCACAATCACGGAGGTCTCTGGATCAAAACTCTTCTTCCTAGCCTCTGTGTCGGATATTTTCTTCTCCATCTTTTCCATTCTTGCACACAGAATTCCCACCTCAGTGTCCAGATTTGCTCGCATGTCTTTTGTGGCTTTTTCAATCTCTTTCAGCACAGCGTCCTTATTCTCAGCCGTCAGTTTCTCCATTGATCCACACAATTTATCCACTCTGGAGTTAACTTGCATTTCCATGCTATCACTTCTGGAATTGACCTGATTTTCAAAGTCGATCTGCATGCGGTCCAGTCTTGTGTTCAGCGCCTTCAGCTCTTTCATTATCGCAGCACCGCCGCTACAGCATTCGCTCTCATTCTTGTTGCTTCGGCTTTGCAGTTGCTTCTCTTGATCCGCCATAGTTTTAACCAAAATAAGGCACTTCACGCCACAAAGCAAAGGTGTAAGCTTCACAGAGCTAATGAAACAACTGTGGGTCAGTTTTGATCAATAAATCACTGGTTTTGTGCAAGTTTGTTAACAAAGTTTTGAAGACGTTCACACGAGTGTTATTATTATTATTATTATAACATTAATAAATTCCTGTTAGTGATGTTTAAATTAACAGCAGTACAAAACTCCACGGTATCCTACTGTACCCATTTTCTTGTAATATAAGGGGTTGTGGTGTGTGTTGAGTCTGCCGCTTCTCTGCGGCTCCGCTTAGTCACAGAGCTGCCACAGAGAGAGAGAGAGAAAGCGAACCAAAAGTGAGTGAGAGGGAGAAAAGCCACTTATCCAATGTGCCTAAAGGGATATCACTGAGTGCAGCAGAGTTTCGCAGCTCAAGGAAGAACATTTATGATAATTTTTTCATGAAAATGCAATCAGACTGAGACTTTGAGGCAGAAGAACTACCACATCTGCAGTGCAAAATGATTATCATGATGATAATTACTTCATAGAAATGATCCTCTGCGCTCAGTGATCGACTCGTCAGGGCTCCCCCACAAACAAGCAGCTGCTGAAGGAGAGTGGGTGAGTTGTGTTCAGTCTCTTTGCTAAAGAAATCTGGCAAAGCTAAAAAGATGTTTGATGGCTAGTACTGTGGCTGGGGCCTTATATGTACTGTTGGTGAAGTTAGGTGCTGTTCTAAGCATTATTTGTAGCTATAGAGTGGCGCTTTGGTTGAGGTTTGTGCATGGAGACATAGACCACTGTGTATTGCTATCATGCAGTCATTACTAAAGTTGGTATAACTAGAGGAGTAAGCAGTCAGCAACATTTATCTCTTGAGGGGGTGTCTAATTTGGTGTTATAGTGTTTGACCTTGACTTAAATTTACGCCGGAATATCTCTTTAAATGTGGGTAATATTTCTGAAAAAAGCTCTATTTTACTCAATGTGTCAGCTTCTACTTCTGCCAGATGTCGGAGCACAATGCATCAGTTGAGCGCAGAGCAGATTGTGTGGAACAGGAAATTGTGTACAAAATACAAAGTAAAACACCAGGTTAATTTCAAATTAAAATACACAATGTTTAGGACAGATCATATTTCCATCACTACAGGTCTGGCGTAAAGGTCCAAGGTTTAAATATAAAGTTTATTGTGACCTTGCTACTACTGTGTGGGCTAGCATAATAATAATATTGATGATAACAATAATAATAATAATAATAATAATAATAATAATATTATTATTATTAATCTATCTATCTATCTATCTATCTATCTATCTATCTATCTATCTATCTCTATATATATATATATATATTTATATGTCTATATCTATCTATCTCTCTATCTATCTATAAATATAAATATAAATATATGTATATATATATATATATATATATATATATATACACTCACCGGCCACTTTATTAGGTACACCTGTCCAACTGCTCGTTAACACTTAATTTCTAATCAGCCAATCACATGGCGGCAACTTAGTGCATTTAGGCATGTAGACATGGTCAAGACAATCTCCTGCAGTTCAAACCGAGCATCAGTATGGGGAAGAAAGGTGATTTGAGTGACTTTGAACGTGGCATGGTTGTTGGTGCCAGAAGGGCTGGTCTGAGTATTTCAGAAACTGCTGATCTACTGGGATTTTCACGCACAACCATCTCTAGGGTTTACAGAGAATGGTCCGAAAAAGAAAAAATATCCAGTGAGCGGCAGTTCTGTGGGCGGAAATGCCTTGTTGATGCCAGAGGTCAGAGGAGAATGGCCAGACTGGTTCGAGCTGATAGAAAGGCAACAGTGACTCAAATAACCACCCGTTACAACCAAGGTAGGCAGAAGAGCATCTCTGAACCCACAGTACGTTGAACTTTGAGGCAGATGGGCTACAGCAGCAGAAGACCACGCCGGGTGCCACTCCTTTCAGCTAAGAACAGGAAACTGAGGCTACAAATTTCACAAGCTCATCGAAATTGGACAATAGAAGATTGGAAAAACGTTGCCTGGTCTGATGAGTCTCGATTTCTGCTGCGACATTCGGATGGTAGGGTCAGAATTTGGCGTCAACAACATGAAAGCATGGATCCATCCTGCCTTGTATCAACGGTTCAGGCTGGTGGTGGTGGTGTCATGGTGTGGGGAATATTTTCTTGGCACTCTTTGGGCCCCTTGGTACCAATTGAGCATCGTTGCAACGCCACAGCCTACCTGAGTATTGTTGCTTCTTTCTCTTACTGACCTTGCTTCTCTGCCGTGCAGACGTCTCTCTGCCTGCTCCTGCTGCTTGAGCTTTAATCATTTCTTCATGACTTTTTAATCACTTGACTAGTCTTGGTTTTGATTTTACTTTTCTCTTTTAAGTAAACCAAGATCTTTAAAATCATTTTTGCGCTTTTTACTACACTTTTTACTTTACCGAGTGACTGGATAATACAGCTAACCAGCACCAAGATGCCCCACTTCAGCACGGATGATTACCACAAACTGCTTCAGAAAATTGCAGTGCTAGAGACCAAAATCAACCGATTAGAAGCAAATGTGGATAGAAACGGACGGTGCGGGAATGAAACAACATCTTGTGACCAGAACCATAACACACAGCTGATCACTATCGACCAAGAAGACTACGGATCCTCCAATGCCTCTTCTTCGGATTCCCTCGGAGCTAAACCCAAATCATCTCACTGGAATATGGGAGGACAAGTAACAAGCAGAGCCCAGCACCCTGAGATCTGTGATGAGACTGGCTGGCCTAAACTATCTTCAACACCTGTCCAGCGTAAGAAGCAGCCATGGATAGCTGCCAAAGGAGGCCCTAAAATCAAAAACAATCTCCCCCCGCAGCAGCCATCCCTCTCACTGCACAACAGATTTGCTCCACTGTTACGGAATCCTGGATCCTCATCTCCGCATAGCAGGGTAAGATCTGAGAGAAAATCAAAAAACGGGGAACCTCAAACATTGATTGTGGGTGATTCTGCTATAAAAGACATACAAAACATGAGCAAAAACAGCAAAGTGCTCTGCTTCCCCAAGGATATGGTCTGTGACATAACAGGCAAAATTCAGGATATAGTGGCCTCATATCCCTCTCTGACAGCTATTGTGATTCACTGTGGAGCTAATGACATTGTAACAGAACAATCTGAAAAACTAAAACGTGATTTCAGTGAACTATTAAAAACAGTCAGCTCCCTGAATGCTCAGGTATTCATCAGTGGCCCCCTTCCACCAATCAAAAGAGGAGATATGAGATTTAGCAGACTTTTTGCCCTGAATCGATGGCTATCTACTGCCTGTACCAAAGTCAACTTTATTGATAACTTTAGGCTGTTCTGGGACCGCAGGCATTACTTCAGAGCAGACGGACTCTCTCTAAACAAAGCTGGAGTGAAACTATTCACCTCCAACCTGTATCACTCCCTGCGTCACCCATCCGTCAAGGACAAGAGACAAGAGGAGATAAAACACCACGGCCTTGACAGAGAGACGCCTCGGGCCCCCCCGAGCACAAAAAGCTTTGGTTCAAGCCAGAAGGAGGAATCTGTACTTCTTCTACCACCGCTCTCCTTAGAGGACCCACCCTGCTCAAGCAAGGAGGAGGAATCTCTACTTCCTGTATGCCCACCAACCGAGGAAGACATGCCCTGCCAAACGTCACCCATAGCATCCTCCTCCCTGGGCACACCATCCCCCTCCTCCTCCCTCCTGGATTTTCCAGCTGAACTGAGAGAACTGGAGAATGCTGGAGTGAGACTTAGCGGCACGCCTCTCCACCACTCCAGCCACAGGACCGTCCTCCGCCCCAAATCCACCAAACAGCAACGTGCCCCTCCTCCTCCCCCACGACAAGGAGTACTGCAGCATCCTCTCCCTCAGCGTGATAAGAGCACAGGACTAACAGTGAGGAACACCTCGTTCTCAATAAGCTCTTGCTGATATGTTTTGGGTCCAGGCAAGGATAACTATAGTTATATCTCTTCCCAGGACAGCCTGCGGCCCGATGAGATAACGCCACCAATCCCAGTCATAATAAGTAATAGACATACTAATCTGCCTAAAAACAGAAGGTATCTAACTAAGAATTTATCAAACTTAGTCTCCATCCCCCGTCAGCCCATCATGAAAACCAGTACAGAAAATTTCTCTAGCACACTACACTCAGCTCTTTTAAATGTCAGATCTTTAGCTGGAAAATCATTCTTAATCAACGATCTTATCATCAAGCACAATCTCAACTGAATGTTTTTAACTGAAACCTGGTTAGAACAAGATAACAGTGCAACTGTACTTATTGAATCAGCCCCCCCTAACTTCAGCTTTATGAGTGAAACGAGGAAGCATAGAAAAGGAGGTGGAGTAGCTATTCTATTCAAGGACTCAATGCAATGTAAACAGATGTACTACAGGAATTTTCCTTCCTTTGAATATGTGGCCTTCCAGTTGAACTCTGCTACTAGAGCAATATTCCTTAACATCTACAGACCTCCTAAATACTGTGTGAATTTTTTTGATGACTTTACTGAATTGCTGTCTATAATCTGTATTGACTTTGACTGTGTAGTGATTGTTGGTGATTTTAACATTCACGTTGACAACCCCCAGGACAGAGGCACCAAAGAATTGTGCTGTCTCCTTGATAACTATGGTTTGACCCAACATGTAACAGAGCCCACACACAATAGAGGTCACACTCTAGACCTAATTATTTCCAAGGGCCTGAACATACCCAAAATTATGGTCACTGATGTTGCTATTTCTGATCACTACTGTGTGTTTTTTGAGAGTACTATCTCTATGTTATTCACCACTGCTCAGACAGAGGTAATCACCAAGCGGCTTATCACTGACTACACCAGTGAAATATTTAATCAGGCTTTGACTCCTCTCCCAGCCCTCTCACGGCTCTCGGTCAATGAGCTTGTAGAAGACCTTTGCTCTAGAGTCACAAATGTGATGGATGCCATTGCGCCCACCAAGGTGAAAATAGTCTCTGGCAAGAAAAGATCTCCATGGAGGAATGCCGCGCTGGTCAGAGCTGAAAAAAGAGAGTGTCGGAAAGCCGAACGCAGATGGCGAAAGACAAGCCTTCAGGTTCACTATCAGATCTATAAAGAGAGACTTCGTATCTTTAACCTAGAACTAAGAAATGCTAGACGATCCTTCTTCTCAGACATCATCACCAAAAACAAAAATAATGCACGCGCCCTATTTACCACAGTCGACAGGCTAACAAACCCTCCAGTATCAGTAGCCTCTGAATTTCTGTCTGCCAAGGCTTGTAATGAATTTGCCTCCTTCTTCAATAACAAAATCCAGAAAATTAGACAAACAGTCAGTAGCTCAATATCCAGTACAGGATATGTGTTCTCCATGTGTACTAACCCCAGTAGCATGACACAATTCAACCCGATCAACATTAAAACCCTGGAGGACATCATACTAAATCTGAACTCCTCCACCTGCTGCCTTGATATTCTGCCAACAGGTTTCTTTAAAACAGTTTCTAATTGCATGGCCTCAGAGCTTCTACAGATTGTCAACATGTCACTTCTGTCAGGTGTCTTTCCACAGGTCCTGAAAACTGCTGTCATAAAGCCTCTCCTAAAAAAAAGCAACCTAGACAACTCAGTAATGAACAATTATAGGCCTATATCGAACCTCCCGTTTTTAAGCAAAATCATTGAAAAAGCAGCCTTCCAACAGCTTCACAACTTCTTAGTCCTAAACAATTGTTTTGACGTTTTCCAGTCAGGGTTTCGACCGCACCACAGCACTGAGACTGCTCTTATCAAAGTCTTTAACGACATCCACTTAAACTCAGACAATGGCAAAATTTCAGTCCTAGTATTGCTCGATCTCAGTGCCGCTTTCGACACGGTTGACCACAGCATCCTACTCGATCGACTGGAAAACTGGGTGGGACTTTCTGGAACAGTACTAAACTGGTTTGCATCCTACTTAAAGGATAGAGACTACTTTGTGTCTCTAGGTAATTACACATCAGAGCGAACAAAAATGACATGTGGGGTTCCCCAAGGCTCCATTCTGGGGCCACTCCTGTTCAACATTTACATGCTCCCTCTAACTCAAATCATAGCAAACAACAAAATATCTTACCATAATTATGCAGACGACACACAGATTTACATAACCATATCGCCAGGCGACTACAATCCAATACAAACACTGAGTCAGTGTATTGAACAAATCAACGATTGGATGTGTCAGAATTTTCTTCAACTAAACAAAGATAAAACTGAAGTAATTGTATTTGGAGCAGAAGACGAGCGATTAAAAGTCTGTGCTCAGCTTCAATCGATAATGTTAAAAAGCACAAACCAAGCCAGAAACCTTGGTGTTGTCATGGACTCAGACCTGAATCTTAACAGCCACATAAAGACAATTACAAAGTCAGCCTACTATCACCTGAAGAATATATCAAGGGTCAAAGGACTGATGACCCAGCAGGATTTGGAAAAGCTTGTCCATGCATTTATCTTCAGCAGACTTGACTACTGTAACAGTGTCTTCACAGGTCTCCCCAAAAAATCCATCAGACAGCTCCAACTGATTCAGAATGCTGCTGCTCGAGTCCTCACTAAGACCAAGAAAGTAGATCATATCACCCCAGTTCTCAGATCTTTACACTGGCTTCCCGTCTGTCAAAGAATTGATTTTAAGATACTATTGCTGGTTTATAAAGCACTGAATGGATCAGGACCAAAATACATTTCTGATATGCTGATACGTTACGAACCATCCAGACCGCTCAGATCATCAGGAGCAGGTCTGCTCTCTGTCCCCAGAGTCAGAACTAAACGTGGAGAAGCAGCTTTTAGTTTTTATGCTCCTCATATCTGGAACAAACTCCCTGAAAACTGTAGGTCTGCTGAAACTCTCAGCTCTTTTAAATCACAGCTGAAAACGCATATGTTTGCTGTGGCCTATCATTAAATCAAACCTGAGGCCTTTAATCAACATCTTCATCATCTGCCTGTCTTGATCTTTTTTTTTCTATCTCTCCAATCTAACCTTTGTTTTCTTTTATCTCCAATCTTATTTTAGCTTTGAATGTAACTTTTAATCTGTTAAATGTCTTTTACGCTGTTTTTACTTTTTAAATTGTGTTGAATGTTTTGCCTGCTTGTTTCATGTAAAGCACCTTGAATTGCCCTGCTGCTGAAATGTGCTATACAAATAAACTTGACTTGACTTGACTTGACCATGTCCATCCCTTTATGACCACAATGTACCCAACTTCTGATGGCTACTTTCAGCAGGATAATGCGCCATGTCATAAAGCTGGAATCATCTCAGACTGGTTTCTTGAACATGACAATGAGTTCACTGTACTCAAATGGCCTCCACAGTCACCAGATCTCAATCCAATAGAGCATCTTTGGGATGTGGTGGAACGGGAGATTCGCATCATGGATGTGCAGCCGACAAATCTGCGGCAACTGTGTGATGCCATCATGTCAATATGGACCAAGCTCTCTGAGGAATGCTTCCAGCACCTTGTTGAATCTATGCCACGAAGAATTGAGGCAGTTCTGAAGGCAAAAGGGGGTCCAACACGTTACTAGCATGGTGTACCTAATAAAGTGGCCGGTGAGTGTAAATATATATATATATATATACACACACACATAGTAATTTCAGCATCCTGGGGATATAAGCCATAGGTTTTCTGTCAACATATTGTTGACACAAAAGAAATGGCAATAGCATAACACTTTCACCTACACAGGACACACCGCTAAGTAGTTAGCTTTTCTATCTTTGCATATTGTGTAAAAGACTAAAAGAAAAGATTTGGCGCACACTTTGCGTGTGCACATGCTGCCCTTTTCTGACTTTGAGCCCCTGCCCCTCTATCTTTCAAATGATGCGCTTGAACCGAGAGGTTGCTGCGAGTCTGGTCTCTATCTGTAATTTTTGTAATTTATGCTGTATTTTTTTTCATATTTTTGATGTAATTTTGTTGGCTGCTGATGAATACTTCTGCTGGGCGAAGAGTTTACTCAAGAGAAGGGGCTCCTTTCATTGAGGAAAAGCAAATCCGGGCAACAACATACAATTCCAGAGGACATCAGGAGGTGTTATCGTGGTTGCCGTGCTGATGCAAAAGTGAAGGCAAAGCTGAATGCTAGGAGATGGCGATATAAACCCTTTCTTCCATCAATCATCATGGGAAACGTCAACTCTCTGCCCAACAAAAGCGATGAGCTGGAGATATTGGTGAAGACTGAGAAAGCATACCGTGAGTGCAGTTTCCTGTGTTTTACTGAAACCTGGTTGAATAAAAACAACTCGGACTCCAGTGTGGGTCTACCTGGCTTCACTCTCATAAAGTCAGACAGAGATGCTCAAACTAGTGGCAAGAAGAAAGGAGGCTTTATTTGTCAACCAGAGATGGTGTAACCCTTCACACATAACTGTCAAGGAGAAGTTGTGTTGTCCAGATATTGAACTGTTGGCAGTTGCTCTTCGGCCATATTATGTTCCCAGAGAATTAAGTCATATCATAACAGTAGTTGTTTACATTCCACCCAAATCAACTGAGAAATGTTGCAATGTTTTGCAAAATAGTGTTGCCAGGCTACAGAGTCAACACCCTGAGGCACTAATAATAATATCGGGAGACTTCAACCATGTCACCCTCTCCTCTCACCTGACTGGATTCACACAGTTTGTGAACTGTCCTTACAGGGAAAACAAAAACCTGGATCTGCTGTATGCCAACGTCAAAGAAGCCTACAGAGTCACTGCCTTACCACCACTGGGCAAGTCACATCATAACTTGGTCTATCTGCAAACCTGTTACAGTCTCTTGACTGAGTCAGGCTTGGTGTGGTGCAGAATGGATGTGCGGTGAGCGGGGGACAATGAGGCCCCTTTTTGTGACAGTAGTCTACCGAGAAAAGAGACTTGTTTCCGCGCGATTTGCAACTTAGGTTGACTGACCTTGAACCCATGACGGGCCAGGAGTAGGAGCAGGGCACATGTGGCCTGCAGGCAGGACTCGGCTGTGGTGGATGCAATGAGTAGGTCATCGACATATTGAATCACTGTGGTGCCATCGGGCAGCTGCAGGTCAGCCAAACATTCTTTCAGAACCTGGTTAAAGATGCCAGGGGTGAGGGCGAATCCCTGTGGGAGGCGAGTGTAACAGAGTCTGCGGCGTTGGTAGGTGAACGAGAAAATATCCCGAACGTTCTCATCCAAAGGGAGACAGAAAAAAGCGTTAGCAAGATCAATACATGTGAACCATGCTTGCTCAGGGGACAGATTGTTCAGTGCAACATATGGGTTTGGCACCGGGACCGTGCTGGTCCCCAAAACCTGATTGATGGCCCTGAGGTCATGGGCCATACGGTACTTACCAGTGCCCTTCTTTTCAACCGGTAGAATGGGTGTGTTCCAGCAGGGGTCGGAGGCAATGTTCCCTCTAATTTTTCATGTGTCTGTGCAAACACACAAGCTTCCTGAGCACACTGAAGATCATTGTGAGCACCATCAAATGCGCGGGGGGGGGGGGGGGTCCGACTCGGCTCGCGCAAGGAAATAAAACAGGTGCCGAAACTATCTAAATATCAGACTTTGATAAAAAAACATTTTAATTTACTTTTTAGGTGAACAGGTGGACACCTGCGGCTTATTTACTGGTGCGGCTTATACGTGTACAAAGTTATTTTTTTCCCTAAAATAAGCATCTGCGGCTTATATAACGGTGCGCTCTATAGTCCGGAATATACGGTATGTAAGCAATGTCAATGTGATGATTGGCTACGTAGCGTAAGTGAACCGTATCACATCATTGGCTGGACATCTATCACTCACTGTGTTAGACATGCGCTGTATAGCTTTTCTTGTGCGCTGATAATGTGTGAGCAGTGCGCGATTGCGCAGGCGCACAGCTTAGAGGGAACATTGGTCGGAGGGTTCGAGGACACCAGCGTCTAACACGCCTTCTATGGTGTCCTGAATGCCCAGTTCTGCCTCTCTTTTGTGAGGGTACTGTGGCACCCAGACTGGAGAGTCAGTATTCAGCCGGAATGAGATAGGTTCACAGTTAATCAATCCGACGTTGGACCCTCGGCCCACAATGAGGCTGGGAGGGAGGAGATAAGCTCCTGTGCTTTTGGATAATCAGATTTTTCTCTACCATGGTCCCTAGATATGAGTTCATGTGTGCATAAATTAGAGTTAGTGGTGGTACTCACAATACTGAACATTTTCAGGGACGGAGAGCGGAGCACGCCAGGCAGGCCTGAGGAAGACCAGTCTGAGGCCGAGACTGCTGTTTTGACCATGGGCCCAATTCGCGAGCCTCATGTCCCGGATGGAGAGCCAGTGAAATGTGGGGGAAAGCAGTCTCAGACATATTATACCATGACTGTTGCTCTCTTGTGTGATTAATCATTGCCGCAACCCCCTGTTCTCCCACCAAAATGTCACCAGAATGTAGCTGCCAGGTCTTTCCTTCTAGCTGGTTTTGCAATTCCTCGAGGTAACATTCATTACCCTCCCGGTCGTAGAACAGAGTCAGATGGAGCGGGTCAGGTGGAGCTGTGTAGGGGTGGACGCGGAGGATCCAGGGTTTCCAATGGAGATAACAAGAGTAGAGCCCAGTCTGTGATGGCTCCAACAGGGCCCAGAAAATGTCTGCAAATCAAGGTTCAGTGTCTCTCAGGAGGTACTGGTGTGTGTCCCCAATCCCTTGTGCACATTGGACTTCAGTCCCATCCGGGAACGTGACAGTGAGGCCCTGCTTACCGCAGAGGATATGTGCATTGAGTCTCGAGAGTAGGTCCCTACCCAGGAGATTGACTGGAACACTGGGAGACACTAGGTAGGGGTGGTGTAATTTCTGTCTGGCTACATGTGTGGGAAGGGGGATGGTAAATGACAGAGTCTGACTTACTCCAGAGAAACCCACCACGCTCATAGTCCGTCCAGACAGAGGCCCAATGTCCTGATTAACCATGGATCTGGTAGCCCCTGTGTCAACGAGAAAGGGCAGAGCGTGGTCCCGGACCATCATGGACAGCAGGGGCTCTGCCGTTACCTCGCTGTCCGAGTTGCTCTGTGAGGCGTGTCATTGAGGATACTGGTAGGCGTCCTGAGCCTCCCAGGTCTGGTCCCAGGCAGTGACTGCGACTGGAAACTGGTGAGCCTGCTGCTGCTGCTGTTGCTGCTGCTGCTGTTGCTGTTGTTGCTGCCGCTGCGGTTGGGGTGGTCCTCCCTGTCTATGCGGAGGTGGGCCACGGGCCATGCCGCGCATCGGGTAGCTGTGTTGCTGCGGAGGATTCGGTGGATAGTTTGGACAGTCAAGCCACCAGTGTCCATTCATACCGCAGGAGTGGCAGGCGTTGTTGCGTATGGGTGCTGTTTGTGCCTGATTCCAGTAGCCGCGCTGGTGGGGAGGGCCATTGTTACGAAATCTCCTGCTGCCCTGGAAACCTCCTCCCCTGTAGGGTCCACCAGACCTCGCTCCATGTCCTCCCCCCCACCAACCCTGAGATTGATCTGCGGGAGGAGAATTGGGAGAACAATCTGCCCACTGGGGCACTGGGTACATGTCAGGTGAATTCTGTGGGTCGTTAGAGGCAGCGGCAACCATAATTTTATCTGTATTACGATCTGTCTTACCCTCAGTGGCATTTCTCCGAGCCTGGGCGAGCTGCAGCTTCATAAGTTGTCTCTGCATGTCTTTGTCATCATCACCTTCTTTGTCGGCTCTGTCTTTAGCCCTCTGCAGGTGGTGTTTGAGATGACGTTCCCACACCAGGCAGGATGAGCCCGGGAGGTCTGGGCTGTTTTCTACGAGTTCTCTAAGAGTTTGCGTCTGAATATGCAGGATGTAACATGGCTTTTGAGCGTGTGAAGTGATGGCGGCTGAGAGGTGCACTCGCCCTATTTTCGTTTGTCATACGCTGCTGTTCCTCCATGGTGGCAGTGGGTCGGGCCATGGCTTCACTGGCGTCCGTGTTATCCGTATAGTTGATGGTGGAGCCTCTGATGGTCCCCTGCATCTCATCTCTCATGGTGCTGAGCATCTCGTCTCTCACTTCCTGTCTGAGTTCCTCTTCCACTCTGCATAAATGTTAATGAGCCAAAATCAGTTGGTTTTCCTGTAAGGTTTTTTAGGCATACTAAAAGAAACCATCAAATAACTTTTCAGCTTAAATTATGTTGCAAACATGATCAGAGGACATCAAGGATTATGAAAAAACAATAAAAATGGGTATGAAATTTTGATGGCAGGTCCCCTTTAAAAGACTGCTGAACATATCCTGTTAATAAAGATGTATTGATCAAGTTAAGCAAGGGTGTACTAATTACAGGAAGAGTTTCCTTCAGCAGTTTAAATGGAACTGGGTCTAAAAGACACGTTGATGGTTTGGCTGCCAACACCACTGAATTTAACTCAGGGAGGTCAATAGGTGCAAAGTTACTAAGGTGCACCAGAGGCCTTAGGGGCTCCTCAACAATTTCAGGGTTATCTAAGAGGAAGACACCTGTTGAAGGCAGGAGGTTACTAATTTAACCTCTTATTTTTAAGATTTTATCATTAAAGAAGCTCAAGAAGTCATCGGTTCTGAGGGCTAAAGGGATACATGGCTCAATGGTGCTCTGACAGTCCGTCAGCCTGACTACAGTGCTGAAGAGATACCTGGGGTTATTCTTATTTTCTTCAATAAGAGATGAGTAGTAAGTTGCCCAAGCATGTTGCAAGGCCTTCTCATATTTGTCAAGACATTCCTGCCAGAGAAAACGAGCTTCAGCTGTTTTGGAAGAGCACCAAATACTTTCTCGTCTTCTTAACAACTGTTTCAGCTCACGAGTTTCAGCATTATACCATGAAGCCAGCCTCTCGCGTTTAACAGTTTTCTGTTGAAGAGGAGCAACTGAGTCAAGAATTAATCGCAGTGTGCCTGAGGTATCATCGACCAACTGATCAAGTTGCAAGGGGCTAACATTCAAGTATGAGCTATCAGTAAAGTTGTTCTCAAGCACAGAATTAAGAGCAGATGGAATTGCCTCCTTGAACTTAGTCACAGCATTTTCAGACAACATTCTTGTTAGCAAGGAAGTGATCTGATAAAAGAGGATTTAATGAGCTGACTGACAAGGCTTCAGCTTCAAGGCCATAAGCCAGGACAAGATCGAGGGTGTGGTTAAAACAGTGTGCAGGTCCATGTACACACTATGTAAACCCAATTGAGTCTAACAAGGACAAGAAAGCGATGCTTAGGCAATCATTTTCCACATCCACATGAATATTAAAATCACCAACAACAATGACTTTGTCTGCACTAAGGACTAGATCAGATAAAAACTGAGAATTCTAAAAAAATCTCAGAGTATGGGCTTGGAGGGCGGTAAACTATAGCAAATGCCAGTGGTCTCATGGTCTTTGAGGCTGGATGCGGAAGACTGAGAACAGGACTTTCAAAAGAGTTATAATCCAGTTTTGGCCTTGGGTTAATTCCAAGACTGGAATTGTAAATAGCTGCAACTCCACCACCAGAGTCCCGAAGAATGTGAAAGCCTTGATTGCTAGGATGAGTGGATTCATTCAAGCTTACATATTCATCCTGACGCAGCCAAGTTTCGGTTAGCGAGAGTAAATCAACGGTCCAGAGTAGCCAAAGAGATGGAGGAGCTCAGGGCCCAGGGTGGATGCAGCTGGGGTCAGGCAGTTCCGCAGCAGACCGTTTGCAGCATTAGTCCAGTGGCAGCTAAAAGACTCAGAGACACTCAGAGAGACAGAAAACTGGTCAGTGACTTATATGGTACATAAAGATCTAAAGAGGAGATAGAGACAGACTCTAGCTCAGTGTGCCAGATAGCCCCGGCAGTCTAGGCCTATAGCAGCATAACTAAGAGCTGGTTCAAATCAGCCCTGACTATAGGCTTTATCAAAGAGGAACGTTTTGAGTCTACTCTTGAAAGTTGAGAGTGTGTCTGCCCCCCGAACCTCGAGCGGTAAATGATTCCAGAGGAGAGGTGCCTGGTAGCTGAAAGCTCTTCCTCCAATACTACTTTTAGAGACATTTGGTACAACGAGCAGACCTGCAGACTGTGAGCGTAACGGTCTAGATGGAAAGTACGGTATAACTAGCTCGTCGAGATATGATGGAGCCTGGCCATTAAGCGCTTTATATGTCACAAGGAGGATTTTAAACTCAATTCTATATTTAATAGGGAGCCAGTGAAGAGAGGCTAAAACAGGAGAGATGTGCTCCCTTCTTCTAGTTCTAGTCAATACCCGAGCTGCTGCATTTTGGACCAGCTGAAGAGTCCTTAATGACTTACTAGAGCAGCCTGATAGGAGAGAATTACAGTAATCCAGCCTAGAGGTAACATAGGCATGGACTAGTTTTTCTGCATCGCTCTGAGACAATATGCGTCTAATTTTTGAGATATTGCGCAGGTGGAAAAAGGCTGTCCTGGAAATTTGTTGAATGTGGGAGCTAAAAGATAAATCCTGATCAAATAAAACTCCTAGATTTCGCACAGTGGGGCTGGATGCCAGGCTGATACCATCAAATGTAGCTAAATTACTAGAGAATGCCTCACTAAGGTGTTTAGGACCGAGGACCAGAACTTCAGTTTTATCTGAGTTGAGCATTAGAAAGTTATTGGTCATCCAGGATTTTATATCTTTGAGGCAGGTTTCTAACCTGGCAACCTGGCCTGCTTCCTCTGGCTTTATGGATAGGTATAGCTGGGTGTCATCTGCATAACAGTGGAAATTAATCGAGTACTTCCTCATAATTTTACCCAGCGGAATCATGTACAGGGTGAAGAGGATCGGTCCGAGCACTGACCCTTGCGGCACTCCGTAGCGGACCTTGGTGTGTGCAGAGGATTCATTATTAACATGGACAAACTGGGATCGATCTGTTAGGTACGATTTAAACCAGGAGAGAGCTGATCCTGCTATGCCTATAGATTGTTCCAGTCTCTGAAGCAGGATGGAGTGGTCAATTGTGTCAAATGCAGCACTAAGATCAAACAGGACTAGAACAGAGAGAAAACCATTGTCCGAGGCCATGAGTAGGTCATTTGACACCTTTAGCAGAGCAGTCTCTGTGCTGTGATGGGTTCTAAACCCAGACTGGAAATCCTCCAATAAACCGTTGTTATGGAGAAAATCACAGAGTTGATTCGCAACAACTTTCTCTAGGATTTTAGAAATAAAAGGAAGGTTGGATATTGGTCTATAGTTAGCTAGGGAGCTTGAGTCCAGAGTAGGTTTTTTAAGGAGAGGCTTAATCAATGCAGTCTTGAAAGACTGGGGAACATATCCTGTCAATAAAGACGTGTTAATCAATTTGAGCAGGGACGTACTAATCAAAGGAAGAGTTTCCTTCAGCAATTTAGATGGAATTGGGTCTAAGAGACACGTTGATGGTTTGGCTGCTAGCACCACTGACTTTAACTCAGGAAGGTCAATAGGTGCAAAGTTACTAAGGTGCACCAGAGGCCTTAGGGGCTCCTCAACATTTTTAGGGTTATCTGAGAGAGAGACACCTGATGAAGTCAATAGGTTACTAATTTTACCTCTTATTTTTAAGATTTTATCATTGAAGAAGCTCAGGAAGTCGTCGCTGCTAAGGGCTAAAGGGATACATGGTTCAGTGGTGCTCTGACAGTCCGTCAGCCTGGCTACAGTGCTGAAGAGATATCTGGGGTTATTCTTATTTTCCTCAATAAGAGACGAGTAGTAGGTTGTCCGAGCACGTCGTAGGGCTTTCTTATATTTATCGAGACATTCCTGCCAGAGAAAACGAGCTTCAGCTGTTTTGGAGGAGGGCCAAATCCTTTCACATTTTCTTAATAACTGTTTCAGCTCACGGGTTTCAGCATTATACCACGGGGCTAGCCTCTCGCGTGTAAGAGTTTTCTGTTGAAGAGGAGCAACTGAGTCTAGAATTGATCGCAGTGTGCCTGAGGTTTCATCAACGAACTGGTCAAGTTGCAAGGGACTGATGTTTAAATATGAGCTATTAGTGAAGTTCTTCTCAACCACAGAATTTAGAGCAGACGGAATTACCTCCTTGAACTTAGTAACAGCATTTTCAGACAACCTTCTAGTTAGCACAGCTTTGTTATGAGGAGAGTAACCTGAAAGCACAAATTCAAAAGTTACTAGACAGTGATCAGATAAAAGAGGATTTAATGAGCTGACTAACAGGGCTTCAGCTTCGAGGCCATAAACCAGGACGAGATCGAGAGTGTGGTTAAAGCAGTGCGTAGGTCTATGTACACACTGTGTAAACCCAATTGAATCTAGCAAGGACAGAAAAGAAATGCTTAGGCTATCATTTTCCACATCCACATGAATATTAAAGTCACCGACGACGATGACTTTGTCTGCGAGAAGGACTAATTCGGATAGGAACTCTGAGAACTCTGACAAAAACTCAGAGTATGGGCTCAGAGGGCGATAAACTATAGCAAATACCAGTGGTCTCATGGACTTTGAGGCTGGATGCGGGAGACTGAGAACGAGACTTTCAAAAGAGTTATAATCTAGTTTTGGTCTTGGGTTAATTCTAAGACTGGAATTGTAGATAGCTGCAACTCCACCACCTCGGCCAGAGTCCCGAGGAATGTGAAAGTTTAGGTGGCTAGGTGGATTCATTTAAACTGACATATTCATCCTGACGCAGCCAAGTTTCGGTTAGGGAGAGTAAATCAATGCGATAATCAGAGATTAGTTCATTTATTAACACAGATTTTGAATTTAGAGACCTTATATTCAGTAGACCACATTTTATCTTACTAGTACTTGGTTCAGCTATGTTAACAGTTTTAATTCTAGTGAGGTTCTTGTTATTTACTCCTTTTTTAATTGATCGGTTAGAATTTGAGAGCCGAGTACGAGGGACAGACACAGTCTCTATATTAAAGTGACAGTAGCTAGGAGGCTGCTCTAACAAAAGTACACAGGATCGTGTAGAGCTGTGGCTATGCTCCCTGATTTCTATGTCAAGCTGAGAGTAGCTTGGAAGCTGCTCTGAGGGGAGTACAGAGGGACGTTTTACACTGTGGCTCTGCTCCCTGATTTCTATGTAAAGCTGATTGTAGCTTGGAAGCTGCTCTGAAGGGAGTACAGAGGAGCGTTTTACACTGCGGCTCTGCTCCCTTGTCTCTGTGTATAAGTGGTAGTGGCTGGGAAGCTGCTCTAAAGGAGGCGCAGGGGGGCGTGTAAGACTGCGGCCCTGCTCCCTGATCTCTGCTTTGAATTGTCAGTGGTTCGGATTAATAAAATCGGCCAGATTTCTGGATAAACGGGCCGCTCCATCTCGAGTGGGATGAATGCCGTCCCGACTAATCAGACCAGACTTGCCCCAAAATGACTTCCAATTATCAATGAAGCTCACGCCGTTTTGCGGACACCACCTCGACAGCCAGCGGTTGAATGATGAGATACGGCTACACATCTCATCAGTTGTCTGATCGGGCAGGGGACCAGAGAAAACTACGGAGTCCGACATGGTTTTGGCATATTCACACACCGATTCCACGTTCAATTTAGTGACTTCCGACTGGCGGTGTCGGGAGTCATTAACGCCAACATGTATTACAATCTTACGGAATTTACGTTTAGCCTTTGCCAGCAGTTTTAAACTACCTTCGATGTCGCCCGCTCTGGCCCCCGGGAGACACTGAACTGTGGCCGCTGACTTCGCTAATTTCACATTTCGGACTACAGAGTCTCCAATCACAAGAGCGTCGGGCTCAGCAGGTGTGTTGCTGAGAGGGGCAAATTTGTTTGAAATGTGAATATGGTGGTCTAATGTGGGCTTCTTAGGCCTACTGCTATGCTTCCCTTTCACAGTGACCCAACCACTACTTCATCCCGGCTGCTCGGGATTCGCGGGGGGGGAAGCTAAGCTAGGCTGACCTGCACCGGCTACTGTGTCCTGCCTGGCTATCGCTACACTAGCATCGGTGCGGAGCCGCTTTTCTAACTCTGTAATCCTCGTCTCCAGAGCTAAGAATAAACTACACTTAAAGCAGGTATCGTTATCGTCTGAGGAGGACGAAGAGTAACTAAACATCTGACACACTGAGCAGAAGCGAGCAGGAGAAGCAGGAAACCGGGGGGAAGCCATCGTTAGCAAGTGTAGTTAAGAGAAGCTTAGCTAGGAGCTAGTAAAGTAAATGGTCAGAGAGATCGCCCGGAGTGGAGATAAAGACGGTGCTTGGTGAAAACTATCAGAAATACTTACAGACTTTCTAAACAAACAGATGTACTGATAAATTACAGAGAGAAAATAAACCAAAACAGCAAGAGAGCGCTTTCAGGAGGAACAAAACGCTACACACAGTTCAACAGCAAGGAAGGGAATGAGGCAATGCGCACGCTCACCAGTCAGGAGGAGGAGTCCATCAATGGTCACATATTGCCCCCTACCCAATTGAAAAATAAAAGCGGTTGTCAGTGGTTAGAACTTATAAAATTTTTGGATTAACCGGCCGCTCCCACTCAAGTGGGATGGATGCTGTCCCAACTAATCAGACCGGGCTTGCCCCAAAATGACTTCCAATTATCATTGAAGCCCACACCGTTTTGCGGACACCACCTCGACAGCTAGTGGTTAAATGACGAGATATGGCTACACATCTCATGAGTTGTCTGATCAGGCAGGGGACCAGAGAAAACTATGGGGTGTGACATGGTTTCGGCGTATTCACACACCGATTCTACGTTCAATTAAGTGACTACCAACCGGTGGCGACTGGAGTCATTAACGCCGACATGTATTACAATCCTACAAAATTTTTATTTAGCTTTTGCCAGCAGTTTCAAACTACCTTCGATGTCCCCCGCTGTAGTCCCCAAAAGACACTGAACTATGGCCACTGACTTCGCTAATTTCACATTTCGGACTACAGAGTCCACTACTTATCCAATCACAAGAGCATCGGGCTCATTAGATGTGTTGCTGAGAGGGGCAAATTTGTTTGAAATGTGAATTTGGTGGTCTAACATGGGCTTCTTAGGCCTGCTGCTATGCTTCCCTTTCACACTAACCCAACCACTACTCCATCCCGGCTGCTCAGGATCTGCCTGGGGGGAAGCTAAGCCGACCCACACCGGCTACCAGGTCCTGGATAGCTACCGCTACTCTAGCATCGGTGTGGAGACGCTTTTCTAGCTCTGAAATCCTCGCCTTCAGAGCTAAGAATAAA